TTTTTTTTTTTTTTTTTTTAGATCATAAAATAAACCCTTAACCAGTGCAGTGTTGGGGCAGTCCCACTGCAAGGGTTAAAGTTTTATTCCGTCTGGAGTTCTTCTTTAAATCTTTAACAGCTTATCCTATCAGACAATGTTTATACAAAAATACCCATCAGTTTCTAAAAATGTGCTAATATTTCCCCCTAATGTATAAATGTGGACATATGTGTTTAATAAATCAGATTATATATTTTGAGAAGGTGTTTATATCTGGAATGAGAAATTGCCCTTTTTAAATTTCATAAACTTCAGACTCATTGTGAATCTACATTAAAGGAGAACTATGGGGTCAGGGCTTTTCCCCATAGTTCTCCTTAGGGTAACAGGAGGACACAAACTAGTGTCCTCCCGTCACTCTAATCTCAGTATAGCGCAAGCTACAGCTCGCGCTATACTGAGACGCCGCAGCTGAAGCGGATCCTGACAATCATGTCTGGATCCACCCAGCTGCATGACTGACAGCTGGCTCTGCCTATCTAGAGGCAGAGCCAGCTGTACCCTCCCCCGTCCGTTCCACCAGTCAGCGTTGGAGGAACGGAGCTGGGAGGGGGAATCCAGCCCCTCGTCACGGCAGAGAGCCGTGACAGGATCGAGAAGTGAGCGAACGCCAGTATGTGTTTGCTCACTTCCCGATCTACTGAGCCGACCTGTGACAGTCTCATTGTCACGGGTCGACTAGAACTATGAGGATGAGTGAAAAGCACTCGCCTCATAGTTCTCCTACTTTAACTTTGACATAAAATACTCTGACCCTCCTAAAGGTTACATTAAAGAATGTATCTGAACAAACTTTGACAGTCTGGGGTGAATCATTATAACCAACGATTGGTCCGTTATTTTATTTCTGTTTCCACTGTTAGATTATTTTTCTTTTGTACATAGACATAATAAATAGTAATACTTTATTTAAGTTTTTTTTTTTGTACAACTTTTTTTTGTTTTTTTGTTTCGAGCAGTAAACTATAATTAAAATAAAAAAAATAATCTGTGAATATTTACAAACTGAATTGGTCTCCAAAGCTATTATTGGACCTCTGAATCTACTAGCCATATAGATGACCAGTTTAAATTTGTAACCCGTTTTGTGTTCCAGTTTCCAGCAGCATGGCTCACCATGTTTGATGCAGTTCTCATTCTGATCCTGATACCGCTGAAAGATAAGGTGGTGGACCCAGTTTTGAAAAGGAAAGGCTTGTTACCATCGTCTCTGAAGAGGATTGCTGTGGGAATGTTTTTTGTAACCTGTTCTGTTCTGGCTGCAGGTAAGACTGAAGTTTGTGGCTGTGTCTTCAGTCCCATGGTGTTCTCTCAGGACAGGCGCGTACAGGTCGCCTCAGTCCAGCAGTATTCTCTCTCAGGACAGGCGCGTACAGGTCTCCTCAGTCCAGCAGTATTCTCTCTCAGGACAGGCGTGTACAGGTCGCCTCAGTCCAGCAGTATTCTCTCTCAGGAAGGCGTGTACAGGTCGCCTCAGACCAGCCGTATTATTTCTGGACAGGTGGGTATGGGTCACTTCATGATGATTTCAGATGTTTGCCATGCATTCCCATAGGTTTGTATGGAGGAATAAAGGAAAAGCACCAATTAATCTTAGTGGTTTCAGAAGCCTGGACACTAACCTATGGGAGGGTGGTTTTTGGGTTCAGAAATTGACTGTTTAAATGGTAACTTCATGTTTTACTGTTGCAATTTGTGTGGTTTATTCAAATAAAAAGGATTACCTTTTCTGTGGTTGCTGCAGGTATTCTGGAAAGTAAAAGACTGGAGATTGTAAAAGTGGATATTAAGCCCCAAACGATTGGAAATGTCACCTATTATGCTGCTGATCTTGCCATATGGTGGCAGTTACCTCAGTACCTTCTTATTGGCATCAGTGAAATATTTGCAAGTATAGCAGGTAAGTGATATGCAGTGAGTGCGTGTCTGGTGTATGTGAAGCACTGGATGAACCTTACTGAACTGGATGTGGTTATGGGTCTGGAAGGGGAAAGACCTTTTCATTGGCAGCTAGAATCTCTGCTTAATGTTAATTGTTAATTGTGTTGTAGCACACCATGTCCTGTCTGCCCCCCTCCTCTTTACTCTGTTTGCATTAAGCATGTGCAAAATGCTTGAATAAGAGGCAAGGGGGGTTGTGCTATGCTTACTGACTATAATTTCACATTTTGCATTGTTACTGACTGCACTGAGGTTTCTGCTTGCAGACTTCTCTTGTGTTGTATTGTAATGCTGTCTGCAGGCTGTGACTGGTACTGCAGTATGGACACCTAGTCCTATGATCAGTGCTGCATGATTTCAAAACAGAAGCAGAGTGGCTGAAAGCATTGGTGCACACTTGTAGCCTGGTTTACATTTTATGGTCCCGATTAGTGAATGAGAATATTAGTAATAGATGACAGTATAAAAAATATCGCACACTGGTATTTCTATAATATTTTCCAACAAGGTAATTGGTGTCATTTGTGGGGAACAGTTTTTTTCTTCTACGTTCTGTAGAAGAATAAAAAATGTGCACGACTTCCAAAATACTTTAAAACAGCCGGCCTCTGCATCAGAAGGCACCCAGCGGGGAGGAGAGACGCTGGGATGCACTGAATGTTTGGCCCTCATGGCACTTTCGGCATTTGACAAAAATGCCATTGTTGGCCAAAATGTTTCGGCAGCCAACATTTCGGTGCATCCCGAATACAAGCAGAGGGTTTCTTTATGAAATACAAAGGATACAAATAGGGTTGCAGCTAACTATTTTCAAAATCGATTAGTTAGCCGATTTTAATCAGCTATAAGTAGTAAAAAATAAAAAAATGGCTTCAGTGATGGGATTGTAGTCTATCACGGGAGCAAGCTTGGAGGTGGTGACTACTTTACAACACACAAAGGGACCATGGGGAACAAAAGTAGCCACCCTCCAGAAGGAAGGAGAGTGTCGGCCTCAATTCAGAGATGTTATACAGCGCCGCAATGCAGAATACCACCAGCTACAGAGGAACAACAAATCCCAGCAACAATACTTTATACAGCAGCGCGATGCAGACCACCACCAGTTATAGAGGAACAGCAAATCCCAGCAATAATACATTATACAGCGGCGCAATGCAGAATACCACCGACCAGTTATAGAGGAACAACAAATCCTAGCAATAATACATTATACAGCGGCGCAATGCAGAATACCAGCAGCTATAGAGAAACAACAAATCCCAGCAATAATACGTATCGGATAATTTGCAGGCAAATCTGAAAAGGATATCAAGTTAACCTGTATCACAGGTCTTTCCTGTGTATAGTAAAATAATTTTACAATTGAAATGACTTTGGATTTTTCATGTTTTCCATGGAATGATTGGTGAATGACGCAATGGAATATGCCACTGTGTAGTAGAGTGTGTCTTCTAATGATTTATTTGGTAAATCAAATAATTCTTACTGCAAGTCCCATCTTTCTTCCCAATATACTCCATGGGCATTCAATTGTGTCATTCACCAGTCATTCCATGGAAAACATAAAAAAATCCCCAAGTCATTTCAATTGTAAATGATATTACTATACATGGGGAACACCTGTGATAAAGGTTAACTTGATATCTTTTTCAGATTTGCCTTCAAATTATCTGATTTCCGTTTGGCTTCATTATAGTCTATGGACATTCCCTTACCCTGTCAAAGTCCATGGGCATTCCATTCTGTGATTCCTTTTAGTATGCCCCATTTACCATTTAAATCTACAGGCAGCACCAACATCAGTGAATAAGGTATTGCAGGGATTTGTATTCCGCTATAGCTGATGGTACATATACAGTGCAATGTACCATCCTGCAGCGGCGAGTCTCCCAGCATTGAGGAGAGGAGCAGAGGCACGTCCTCAGCGTGGGGCTTGTGCGGCGCACGGCTCAGGTCGTGTGTGGAGCCGCGAACAGGCTAACTAATCAACAGCCAACTAAGCGATGATGGAAAACGTCCATCGTCGATTTTAATAGACTAAATCGATAAGTTGTTGCAGCTCCTAGATACAAACAGTGCTTTTTTATTTAATATAAAGAATGCAAAGAGGGTTTCCTTTATTCAATACAGAGGATGCAAACTGAGGTCTTCCGTCTTTTAGTACAGAAGTTACAAACAGAGGGCTTCCTCTTTTTTTTTTTTATACAAAGGATACAAACAGGAGTGTGGTTTTCTTTTTATTATATTATGTATTGTAATTTTAATATTGCCATGTGTAACCACTTTTTTTTATTCCCCCCCCCACACACACAAAAACTTTTCTATTGACTCTTTAAGGTAGAATTGTTCTCCATTGTTTAAAATAAAAGGAAGCTAACATGCGAATAAGCTCATGTTTAAGACCAAACACCCAATTATTTCTGTGGCCCTTCTGCTTTAGGGCTTGTTACCGCCATGTCCACTGAGCTGTATTTTATTTATTTTTTCTTTCTCCTCCACACCACTTCAAATGTATGGGGAAAACCTGGTTTTTTATACATGTGCCGTGGTGAGGAGAAAAAGTGGCAGCTCGGCAGATATGGTGTGACCAAGCCCTTAGTGTGAACCTGCATGTCAGTGCACTTGACCTCGGAGCTGCAGCAGTGAACACCTGTTTTTAATAGCAGCGTCCCTCTGTAGTGCTGCCTGCTGACCAGAAGTGGTTATTTAATTGGAGACTTAAATTTAATGTTTGCATATCCTCCTGTCACACGACAGTGCCCAGGCTTGATGATGCACCTTTTAGAGGCCGAGGACTTTATTGTGGAACTTGGCAATTGTTCAGGTGGCATTGTAGGGAGAACTACATATTTATGCTGTTCTTTAACATGTGGAGCGCTTAGCTTATCTGCTGACATACCCACAAGTTTGTTGTGCTCAGTTGCATCCTTTACAACTGACAAGTGAAGTCAAGGATGGACACTTGCAGTTGGCTCATAGTAGCAGAACACCATGAACGATGTAAAATCTTGGCTATATGAATCCCTGCTTATAGCCATTGGGACCCCACAAACTGGATTTTTTTTTCTTTAGGCGATCATAATGTGGTTGGTTGAAACCAATTGGCACTTAGTGGTCTTTTGAAATCTTAAAGATTATTCATTCCTTACCCAATCCTACTGTGGCCTACATTCAAAAGAGATGTGCAGTAATGACCCTTTCTCTGATTTCTTTCCCCTTTTGCAAGAAAGTGGAAAAACAATGGTAAACTGTACATAAGAAATGTAAACCTCGTGTGACTGTTTAGTCGTCTTTAATGACGTATTCTTAACCCTGCTGAGGATCACATGCTAACAAAATGGGAGAGTCTGAAATCTGTTCATAATTGTTGCCAAAGTTTACTGAAAGCACGTAATGGTTGAGGAAGTGAAACTGGTATTTGCAGTGGTTCTGCGTATTTTACAGTGTTCACTTTGTAACTGTGTGACTCTTTTTGGAACATGATGGCATGCTTTGTATAGAAAGATCACTTGGTAGCAGTTATTACTTGGACAGTAAACATGAAACAGCTCTCGCATGCAGTTGGTGAAACAACATAATCCCCAAAAATGACAGTGCATAACTAGCTCTTGTGTTTATTTTTAAAGTAAACTCAACCGGACCTAATCTGTTCAGGTAACAGTGCTAAAGCACAGGCACCTTATGGTGCCTGCAAGTACCCATGATCTTCAAATTGATCCCTGTGCAATTGGCTTTGATCCTACACCAAAGCTATGGAGGGGGGCTAGACCGAAAGTAGAAATCCCTGATGGTTAGCAGGGTTGCCAGCGCTATTGTCCCCATTGGCAGATGTCCCATCTATTCCTGTTCTGGTGATGAACCAAAATGTGGGTTTTTTTTGTACTTGTTTCAGCGATGACACTCACTAAGACAGGGTGAATCTCCCTTATATGGACTTGGACAGTAATAAAAACCTGACAGGTGTTCTAATGCCTCTCTGCTCTGTCCAAAACTTGTACTGGCTTCACTTGTATTTTAATCTTGATTTGAGCAGAAGTCAAATCTTCTGTAAAATCTGAGCCTAGGTTCTAGTGATGCTCCAGATGGATTGATTTGAAGACTACCATAGGTACTAGCATGCAATACAAATGTGTAGTGTTCCATAAACATTTTGTTGGGAGACCATTGTGTGTCTGTGGGCATCTTAAGGTTTGGTCACACGGGACTGGACTGATTTTAGATTAAAAAAAAAAAAAAAAAAATCTTTGTTAGACAGCAAAACTTAATTGGCATAGTTTACAAGCAGTTGGTAAAAAAAAAATGTATCTTTGGCAAATAAGAGCACTTTCACATACGTGACAATACCAAGGCACCCTTTGTTTGTCCAACCTCATTGAATCTACCAGAATTTGATGAGCATACTCTACCCACTACTGCTTCTGATTGCTGGATTGCATTGATGGTGTCATCAGAGGATTGTGTCTAGGAGTATGATGAGCTGTTAAACAGACACTATGCAGGGGGGGAGATGATGGACCTAGGCAAAAGAAAAGCTGCAGAATAGTTAGTGAAAGTGCTATATTTAAAATGCAATTTTTTCCTGTGAGTGCCATTTCCAGTGCACATAGGGCTAAGCCCAGATCTCCGTTCTACTCGGATACCTGCATCGCATGCGAGTTTCAACGCTTAAAGCAGGACTAAAAGGCTAGGTGGGTTTTTTTGTTTTTTTTACCTGCATTCTCTGCATCAATCTAAAAAATGCCCAGTGCCTTTCTGTGCTCCCCTGTGCACTCCACACTTGTGGTTGCTTGTCACCTGGATCTGGGTGAGGTTACTGGGGGCAGAGGACCGATTGGCTCCTTTTGCTGTCAGTCTGTTGGAAGGAGAGCGGTGGAGGGAGAAGGGGTGTGGGTTGCTGCACGCTGTGTGTGTCTATGGTCTTCACAGCAGCTGACTAGCTGATGGAGACGCCTGCAAACAGACGGGGAGAGTGGTTTGCGGACCAACTAGAGAACAAGGAAATACAAAAGATGAAAGAATAGTGCATTTACGCACGTGTGGGCCTCCTATTCATAAAAATAAAAAAAATTGAAGGTTTATGATCACTTTTAATGTAGGAATCTTTCCAACTTGCGGTAACTTTTAGCTGCAGTTGAAGTATCGATTTTAATCGACTAAATCGATTAACTGTTGCAGCTCTAAGGTTTTCCCACAGGTCTGTCACCACCGAAGTCCATTTTACTGCTGCCACCCCTTCAATACATGTACTATCTACTGCTCAGGTGCAAAATGTCTAACTCACTATCTTACAACACTTGAGCACAATGTCCCTGTCAACACGACCTGTAAATATGTACTGTCCAGTGCTCACAAGTGCAGTGTCCTTTATAACGATTGTTGATGCAGAGTGGAGACTGGGTCGCATCCAAAAATGTATTTTATTTTTTGATACAGTGATGTAGTCATTAAACCCAAGTGTTGAAATATACAAATATTTCATCTGTTTCTCAATGGCACATTGTCCCTGTCTCTGCAGTCTCTACTTCCTATACATAACGGAATCTCCTTGTCACTGCCATCTGTCTCCCACCACTTTCTGATGTATGTGCAATCCATTGCTCAAGAACATTGTTCCTGTCATCTGTTACTAGGGATGCACAAATACTGATAATGGCATCTGTGCCGACACCAAGTATTTGGGTGAGTACTCCTACTTGCCCAAATGCTCCAATACTTACCCAGATATTGGAACTTCCAGTCAGGGGCAGACTCCCTCTGACCAGCAGTGCCGAAAGGGAGCATGGAGCCGGCTTCCCGGCCAATCGGAAAGCTGGGCGGTAGGTCATGACCAGCCTCCTGGCTTCCTAATTGGCTAGGAAGCTGCTTCAATTTGTCGCTAGGCAGCCTGACATCCTGACCAATTGGAAAGCCGGACAGCATGTCATGGCCCGGCTTCCTGATTGGTCAGGAAGCCAGGTTGCCTTGCAGTGTCGCGAGGGAACGAGAAGCTGGTGTTTTGCTAGAACACAGGCTTCCCAGGCAATCAGGAAGCCAGGCCCACGGTAGCTTGGGATGCCAATTTTGTCGGGAAAAAAAAATATCAGTACTCGATACAGGAAAACCGATATATGTGAATCCCTATCTATTACCCACTGCTTAGCATTAAATATATATCTATCTCTCTATCCTCCCTTTTTTTTTTGTCATTAAAAAGCAAGAGGTCAATTCCATCTGCTTCTAGAAAAGACATAACAATGACGGGTTTGAAAATTTTAAAGCAGGAAATGTAATTATGTAAAGGTACTTGCAATTAATGTCAAAATGTCTAATTCCTCTGCAGTGTACATGCTTGCAGATCTCATTAGTATTTCATTGATGTGCTCCCTATAAATATGCCATTAGCTTGTTTTGGGCACAAACAGTAGTTAATGGTGTGAAAACACTTAACAACGGAGTGACATTTCTCTGACAAATAGTTGCTGTTTTTTTTTGCAGTGGCTTTATGCTTTTATAGTAATAATTATGAACTATGCTTGTTGCTGAGAAGTGAGCTACTCTGCTCTTTAGTGTCTACCAATAAGGCTAACTTGATTTTATGTCTTCTTCTGAGGAAACCACGCAAACAATGCAATGCCTATTACAGGTTGGCCATGTGTCGGTCTGCTGTCAGGAAAGGGATTTCTCATTTGTTGCGGCTTGTTTAGTGTACTTTACAGTGTGTTTGTTTTATAACCAGGCCGATAGAACATATCAGTGATGTGCTATACAAAAGATTATTATAGCCTTTCTTTGTGTAATATTTTTATTTTTTTTCCCCAGGGCTTGAATTTGCTTACTCAGCGGCACCTAAATCTATGCAGAGTGCCATTATGGGCCTTTTCTTTTTCTTTTCTGGAATTGGATCGTTTGTGGGCTCTGGACTTCTAGCTATAGTGTCTTTACCTTCAGTTGGATGGATGAGCAGTCATGAAGATCAAGGTAAGTCTGTGTTAAAGACCTCAATACAACACGACAACATTTTTGGTGAACCAGATGTTATATCGCCATAATAGTATGAAGAAAGTGTGGTGTTTCTGTGGTGTAATTATATTACACTTTTGTGTGACCTGAGAGAAACGAGATTTGGGGTTGTTTTCTACTGAAGCCGTTCTACTTTACTGCAACCAGTATATGGATAGTTCCACTTTTAAAGTACTTTTAAGCCTTTCAACTTGCCTAAATGCCTAAAGCAGAGCTCCAGAAATCATCTTTTGTGGATACTTGGCTCGATGTAAGTATTCATATCTGATATCCAGAGCGTCACTGGGGATTCTGACAATCTCTGTAGTAGTTTGTGCTACATACAGAAATGGCCTTGATTTTCTGGGTCCATCTCCAGAGGTCTCCAAGCTGCAAACTGAGCGCAGGGAGTCACTCTGCACCACTGGCATACAGAGTGGCTGTATTTTTTTTCCAATGAATACAAGGTATTCTCTGATGGGACGAAGTGGAGATGGCGACATCATCCACTCCTTCTTTCCACCTCACCAAATGAAAGAATGTTGTGTTTTTTTTTTTTTTTTGTTCTTTTTTTATATGTATTGAAAAAAATGCAAGGTGCTCTCTAAATGGCAGTAATGCTGAGCAAGTGACTTCCTGTGCAGAGGGCAAGCTGCTGAAGCCACACCTGGAAGAGCAACGATCACTGTATTTAGTGCAGACTGCTACCGTGATTTTCAGCGGCCCTCTGAAGATCCGATAGATCCTTGCATTGAGTCAAGCTGAATCGTAGAAGTATACATAAAAGATCATTCTTCGGTATAGCTTTAATCTCACCTGTATATGCATATATATTGCTTTGCAAATTGCATTTAAATACCGAAAAAGCATATTCCAAACTGGAGCAGTGGCTATATACCGTCAGCCAAAATTACACACTTATTTAATTCAACAGTCCAAATAATATAGGATCTTGTCATAACATTCAGGTCAAATGCGCCACACACGCGCCCCACACACACTTTTGATCAGCATTCAGCACAACAGTAAGTGCAAGAAGAGACGCTTTCATTGAATAATGCTGTTTATCACATAATCCTATTAAAAGCGGCACAACTTAAGTGCTTGGAGTGCTATGGATATCACACGTTTAAAAACAGAGCTATGCTCATAGCTGCCAGCTGATGGTGTTCTTCAAGCAGGCGACAACAGGGGAGCTTTAATAATGAACCCACTGGCAATAGGGGATTAAAGCCCATCTCTGGGCAAACCAAAAACCTCTCCTTGCAGTGGGTCTACTGCGTAGGGTTAACAGCTCATTTATGCCTAGGGGACAGGAGTAAATCTTTTACTGACCTGATCCCCCGCTCCTCCTGGTGGTCAGCACTCACCCCTCTCTGCTTCTTCGGCTGGTGGTATATCTCTTGGCATCCTCACATATAATGCAGGGTTATGGAACCTGGTTTAAATGTGATGACATCAGCGGTCCTTAGACCACCGGAGGAAAAAGTGGGTGAAAGGCTGCAGAGACTGGTCTAGCAACCCAGAGGGAGCAAGCAGGAGTGGGCATCGGGTAAGTAGAACCGCTTTTTTTCCCTAGGCATAATCGAGTAGTTAAAGCGGACCTTTACACGCAAAAATCTAATTCTACCAATGCATTTTTCTATGTATGATGATTATTAATAACATAGACATGTCCGGTAAAAAAAGCTGTGATTTTGAAATACACTTGCAGAGCATTCACTTTCTGCTTTGAAAGGGCAAAATGACTTCAGTTTAGCAAAGCAATGCACACTGGGATTGCATTGTCATCAGAAGAGCAATGTTGGGAAATCTCATCTGTAATCTCACGGAAAGACCTTTTCCTCCCCTGAGATGTCCTGTTCACATGTCCTGTTCACATGTCCTAGAAATCCAGGCAGTAATAGAGCTAGTAATCTGCCCTTATTAAACATGGCCACTGTCAGAAGCCTGGGGAAGAAAAGGGAAATAAGGTATGCAAAGAATACATATCCTGCAATTATCTAGAAGTATAGAAGAACTGAGTTGAGTGATTTACACTCCTATTCATGGTTAGAGCCAGCGTGTGACATACCCTTGCTCGCTCACTCTCTTCAGTCATCTCCCTGCAAAGAGCTGTGATTGTAGGTCATCGTTCCCCACAGGGATTCTCTCCCCCCCCCCCCCCCCCCCCCCCCCCCCCCGGCG